CTTACCCTAAAGTTGGGAAGGAGTGAATTCAATCTTGTGTAGTTATGTTCCCAACTCCCCACTCGGTCTCGTCTCCAAAATGGTAGGCATATTAAGTCGGCGACTCAGGCCACTCTCACCCATACAAATCAAAGGATGAGCCCTAATAGGTAGGAGTCCATAACTCACTCAGGATTGAGATCGAGTTATCTAGTCATCCTATTGAAATATTAATCTATTAGCTAACGGTGTTACAACTAAAGATTAATTATTTCGTGGTCCGGTCTTATACAAACTCATTGTATAGGATACCTTCACTACATGTCTCCACACGAACGACCTAAATCAAGTCATTTATAACTATTACAAAGTGGGTTGTATACATAGTGTTACTAGGATAAGATACCCAACCTCATCCATATACTATAGACCCTTTAGGTTACTACTGGAACATTATCCACCTGTATATCGAATATATACCGTATATATATACATTGTATATCAAATATATAAGTTGTATATTAAATATATATTGTATATCTGTTATATAATGTTCCAGTTACATGATATAACCTCGGATGTTAGTTTATTGGATTTGGGTTAATGCAATTATAAGAGAAATATCAATAACAACTTTATTGAATAAATATTTGTTTTATGTTTACAAACCACGAGTTTAGGGCATAAAACCCAACAGTGTAGTTATCAAATCTGGTCGGCGGAAGAGACTTGGTCAGACGACTTCATTATTTGCTTAGTTGAAGGGGTGATGCTTTTGATACATTCTTTTGACTTTTCACAACAACCAGTTTGTATTCCGGATGTTTTGGAACTTCGTCAAGTCGCTTTCTTCATCATAGGATTTGTCGACTCGTTTTTCCTGGAGCCTGTTTTAGAATCCGTCGATTTATCTCATCTAGGATCTGTCTTGGAACTTGCCAATTTGTTTGTTCTGGGTCCTGCCCCAGAACTTGTCTATTTGCTCTACCCTAGACCTCCTCGGGTTTGAGCAATTCTCGGCTCATCTTCCTCTTTGGATGGGTCAACTTGTCTCACCCAGGATCTATTTTGGAACTTATCACTTCGTTTGTTCTGTGTCCTGCCTCAGAACTTGTCGACTCGCTTTACCCTAGATCTCCTTGGGTCAGAGCAATTATCGGTTAATTGTTGTTGATTATCTTGATTTTTAGATCTTAGTCGTTCTCCACAAACAGTGCCAATTGTTGATGTAGAAATTTGGCCTTCGTGGATCTCGCCAAATTTGCACCAATTTAGAATTAGAGGGATCTACAAGACTGCAAAACAGAAGAGCATTAAAGATCGATGTGACTTTTGCCACACAGGCTCCGATGCTTAAATCAGAATCGGAGTAGTCGAGTATGGAGAGTAAGGTATTTTGGCGTAGCAAATAGTAGGGACTTGTAGCGTACCTCCATTATGAGTATTCACCTCTATTTATAGAGGGAAAATTTTAAGGCCATCAGGATATCCTCTCTTTCAGATACAGGATTTATTCTCCTAAATCTAGGGGATATTCTAAGGCCATCAGGATATCTTCTCCTTTCGAATATAACATATATTCTCCTAAATCTAGGAGAAATGTAAATGATGATATCTTCTCCTTTTGAATTTCTTAAATAAGAGGAATTCGAATTGCATAAAATAGAGTTTTTCTCATCCATAACAATTTTGAATTCCATAACTTACCAATTTCTAAAATTAATTAAAAGTAAAGGACGAAATCTTTTAAACTCTTAGAAAATGAAACAACAAAACTTTTAATAGTCCATCTTTTTACATTTCATGTATTTATTATTGTTAATGATTAATTAATTAATTTACCACCTATAGATAATTGTTTTTTTAAACAACCTATCGATAAGGATTTCTTTTTATAAATAATGTTATTTTAAAAACTAATGACATAAATAATGTAGGTTAGAAATTATTTCCTAAAATAGGGTAGTGAAATTGCAGCCATTAAGTAAAATGCAACTGTTTGGCTGCGCTTTCTAGCCGAAGTCGCAGCCATTGGCCGCGCTTTCTTCTCGAAATTGCAGCCGATGACTGCGATTTCGGTGTGACGTGGTTTACAACTCAGCTAATGCATGAGATTTTTATTGATATATACATTTTGTTACAAATATTTTAAGAATTGCTTAGAGGTGTAGTGGCTTACAATTACCTTGGTTACTTAACTTTCTTCGGTTCAATTCTAGTCCTCTCTACATCTAATTGTTTTTTTTTTATAATTTTATTTAGATTTTTTTTCTTTTTTTCAATTTCTTTATATTCGTTGTCCCGGGCTCAAGTAATCTTTCATTTTTTTATTTTAATTAATTTATTATAAAAATATCTCAACTTCAATCAGTATTTTTAAAATAATTTTATTCTTCCATATTTTAATTTATTTATTATAAAAATATCTCAATTTCTATTAATATTATTTCAATTAATTTTCTTAGGGAGCTAACTACCATCCTAAATAGCCAAATACTAATAAAATAAAGAATATTTTATAGGTAAAATAAATAAAAAATACTACATAGATAAATATATAAATATTATAAATGGAAATCGCATGCATTGTGTCTCAACCCTACTATAAGAGAGTGTGTTGAGACCCTCACCAAGTGTGCAAGCGTCAGCGACATGCATATGTCGTCCATCGGACCATGACGAGGGTCGAGAGAGAAGTGTCGTGATGTGACCAAGGAGGATGATGCATCACCTAACACAACATATGGATGTGCTTAAAATGCCTAGAAAAGGCATATGCATAATGCAAGGCGAAGACGATGTTAGTGGTGTAGGTGACAAGCCCAATGGGGGCCAGTTAGGGCCCTGGGCCACAACTCTAGAAGTCAGGGTTCCGTCGAGAGTTTGGACGAGCGGCTTTAGAGTTAGATGCATATTAGTGAGATATGCAAACACGCTAAGTTTCGTATCAATTGGAGTTCAGACGTGCACTCTACGTTAGCGAGTGACTCCTGGCCACTTTGCACGTACACGTCTGCCAGACCAAGATTGCCTTAGAATGTACCTTAGGAAGAGGCATGGTGTCAGCTCTCCACCACTTTTGGGCCATGTCAGGGCCTAAGTGAGGTACCCCATGACACATGCGTGTGTCATGGTGTGGGCGAGCATCTACAAGACGAGTGTCTTGGGCGATTTCCTTTGAGAATAGAAAACTCGAGGACAGTGTCGAGCAACACAGGTGTGCCGGCATTGCACCTCGATCCATGTGTCGGAGGTTCAACCACGGGGTCCTTATGCAGTATGGTATGCTCAAACGACATGGCACGGGCGCAAGAGTTGTCGTGNAGGACGAGGTCGCCAGGCTTGAACGTTCTGACTTTTACTTTGGCGTTGTAGTACCGAGCCATACGGTTCTGATATTCTGCTAGCCGAAGCTGGGAGTGAGATCTTTTCTCCTCGAGGAGGTCAAGATTCACGAGTAGGGCTTCACTGTTGGCTTGCTCATCGAAATTCTAACTCGGGGCGTTGGCATGCCGACTTCCGCAGGGACAACAGCCTCCGACCCGAAGGCTAGGCCCTATGGCGTCTCACCAGTAGATCGGCGGGGTGTAGTTCGGTAAGACCACAATACCTCTGGTAACTCTTCTGCCCACCGACCTTTCAGAGACTCCAGCCTCGTCTTCAGACCACGCTTGATGATCTTGTTGATGGCTTCAACTTGCCCATTAGACTGCGGATGGGCAGGCGACGAGCTGAGGTGACGTATGCCGAGCTGTTGACAGAATTGATTAAAACGGGCACCGTCAAACTGCTTTCCATTGTCAGTGGTGTACATAGGGGCCGTTATGCAGTACGGTATACCCGAACGACAAGGCACGGTTGCGGGAGTCGACGTGCCACGATTATGTCCGGATGAATGGATGTCCGAAAGGTCCCGATCATAAATACAAGTCCATGGGTCAGTTCTCGGTAGGCGTGCCCAAGAGTTCAGCGAAGCCCGATGACATCCCAATGCTCGGGGTGGCATCCTACAGTACCGGTGGGCACCCGGTAAGTGAGAAAAAGCTAGTCTTGGCCCGRTAAGCGGCAAGACTCATCCCGGTTGCCAAGTTTAGTCATTCYTTGTCCGGATCTCGACAGGAATCATCCCGGCAGTACCCGGTAAGGCCGTTTAGCCCGTTATTGACTAGTTTCTCGGCAGGATGATCTTAGAGGCGTCCGATGGGCCAGATAAGCTAGTTCTGACATAGTTAAGCGGCATGATTCTCCTGGTAGTACCCGATTGGTGTTTTAAGTTTGTTCTGACCCCGTTAAAGGTTAGAACTCATCCCGGTAAGGTCATGGATTGAGCGGACGAGAACCAAGATGGTTGGAAATGTGATGTGAAGCTCGGTCGAGGAAGAAAGAACCTCGCCTAAGGTCCGACGAAGCCATAAAGGGCGCAAAAAGTGAATTGGGGCTAGAGTTCTCCGTAAGGCTGGCCATGGTCGAGCTTAGATCATGGCGCCGCACGGTTCAAAATGTACGACCGTGACACATTGTACGCGACTTCTATAAATGGAAATTACGTTCATTGTATGCGATTTCCCGTGCTGACTCATCTCTCAATATCCATCTCATCTATGACATGTTGGCACATAAATCGCATTCATTGTACGCGATTTATCTAACCTATTTTTGTCGACAAGGTTGGATGCCTAACTTAATTTTGTAATTTTTTATTTAAATTACATTTATTTTGTTTAACTTTTAAATTTACATTATTTTTGTAATTTGTTTTTTAAATTAGATTATTTTCAGATGATTGTTAAGGACATATTTTGTAAATTTAAAATTTGACAAAAGATAAAATATTTCAAAAATATTTTTTTAAAGATGATAGCTTTTTAAAATATATATACACATCATAGATATTTGCAAATAATATGAATTGGGCGCATTTAAATTTTGATATTTTAACAAAAATTTCTTAATTATTTTAAAATGATCACAATTATATTTAAAAACTTCCCGAAATATCTGAAGAAAAATCCGGTGGGATGTCCAAAATCTGAAGCCTATCCACAACCAGAACCAGAAGCAATGTACAAAATCACATGCTGCATAATTTTCAAATCCGCTTCTCCAATGGTGGTTATTGAACCTTGAAGTGCTCGAAAATGGCGACTCCTACTCCAATGGCCTTATCTTCATCCCCCAATTTCCTGTCCCTTCCGCGAACTGCAACTGCAACGCACCTTCCACTCCCACCGAAGAGGCCATTTTTCCAACCCAAGGCACGTCTCTCTGCTGCTGCCTCCACCACCTCTCCGGATTTAGATCCATCGCTGCCATCAAACGTCCACACCTTCTGGCAATGGGTTCGCCAAGAAGGTCTCGTCTCTTCCAAGACTCCAGTCAAGCCGGCCATTTTCCCCGAAGGCCTCGGACTGGCCTCCATGAAAGACCTCTCTAAGAACGACGTTGTTCTGGAGGTTCCGCAGCGACTCTGGATAAATCCCGACGCAGTTGCTGCTTCCGAGATTGGGAATGCGTGCAGTGGACTGAAGCCCTGGATCTCTGTTGCTCTGTTTCTGATTAGGGAAAAGTTCAACGACGACTCGCGCTGGCGACATTACCTCGATATTCTCCCCCGGGAAACGGATTCCACAGTGTTTTGGTGGGTTTGGCTTGCTTCTTACTGTTTAATCTGCTCTACGTCATGATGTTTTTCAAAATTTTGGAGTTGATAGAATGCTTGTCTTGATGGTTTCAGTGCAGGTCTGAAGAGGAGCTTGCCGAACTCCAAGGTTCGATTGACTTATGTCTTAACTTTGGTTTCTCTGTTATATAACAAGTTAGAATCTAAATTGACTGTGGCCATAAAATAGATGCCTCCCAAACACTGAATTAAGGCAAACGTTGGCTTTGTTAGGATATATTTTACGGCAGTGTAAAACTTTAGATGACTATTTGTATGAGGATTTTGATGTTTGAATTCTTATGAAAACACTAGGAAGGAGAAATGTGGCTCTAGTCTCCAGATTAGTATGACTTTCAATTTTCATCATGAAGATGACTTGTTCTGGTTCACTAGAATTGTCAGTAAATATAACTTGAGTAATGGAAATATGGGAAAAGCCCCTGGAATTTTGTAGATAATTGCAGGGAAATGATGAAAGGTTTCGAATTGAAAGCAGGGAAGGGAAGTTTGGTGCACTTCTGAATCAATTCATGGATAACAAAATTATTGTTGAAAGAGAGGTCGCTTTTCCTTTTAGAAAACTTGAATATTCTTACTGTTTAAGATTGTTGGAATTCTGAAGCAAATGTGTGGAGTCGTCTCTTAGATGACGTCTTTATCACAACAACAAAGCCTTTGACTGCTGGCCTCCTTTCTTGATTGGTAATTTTAAAAGCAGGCAGTGGCACCATGGGGAGTCTATCTCTAGAGGCTGGATTCTTTGGATGTTTAACTAACCTAACGCTTTCTTTCTTTCCTTACTTCAAGATGGAGGTTGAAGTTACTATGTCTAAGCACTTGATCTTAGCCTACTTGTCAAATTGACAATAATAGAGATGTACGTATCCAGTGAGAGATCTGAAACTCCGATACTCTCCCAACTCCAAGACCACTAGTACATATGTAATCTATATACATACTTCTACTCGCAGACTACCCATTCTATCATAACTAACCAACCATATGGGCCCCACAATCATAATAACCAGCTCTCATGCTTGACTCCCCCTTTTTACCTTTTTCCTAAGATACACGTTAATAATTGGGGTCTATCAAAAGGGTGTGGCTATACTATCTTTGATATCAATTCGATATAAATTGCAGTTTTTTTTCGTTGCTCACACAGATATAATATTTGGGTTAAACTCCTCATTTTCTTCAACTTCTCTTGCGGATCTCCCATTGTGAATATGATCCTTCTATCAACCTAAGGTTAAGTTCTTTTGATCTCACGGGTTCTAATCTACTCTTTGGAAATTTGATTGGAAAGAAATGTCAGAACTCTTAAGGATAGATCCAGAGATTTGGGTTGAGTTGTTGAAGGTTATTCTTTTTTTGAACTCCTGGTGTGTACGCCATTAATCTTCCGTTACTATGTTTTTTTTTGTCAGTACCAATTAGAGCAGTTTTTTTTTTTTTGGGTAAGATTGTGGAGTAGTTTTTACTAGTTACTTACAAATAAAGAACCAAAAACATAGTAGCAAAAGCTGCAACCAAATATAGTAGGGTTAGACGGTTCTTCCGTGAGAATATTCGAGGTGCACGCAAGCTGATTGATAGGATTAATAGTGAGTTTGAGATGACTTCTTGTTCTTGGATAAGTACCGTTTGAGAAAGACACAAATTAATTTTCATTAAAGAACAATTAATTAGTGCTTCTTGTAAAAGCATTTAAAAGGAGCTTTTGAGATTTTTTTAGAATCTCCAAAAGCACTTTTGGTTACATAGCTAAATGTGATATCATGCTTAAAAGGTACGTTAAATAACTAATTTAAAGCACTTTTTATCATCCTAAAAGTCATGTCAAAGTAGTTTTAAAGGCATGAGTTTATTAATTATAAAATTTACCTAATCCATGAGTTCTTTTCCAAAACACTTGCAACAAAGCTTTTACCCCCAATCATCCCTTCAAGATTATATGTATGTTTACTTGCATGGGAATGTGCATTTGGAGGTTAGTAAAGTAGCTAGCTAGTGTAGCAAATAATATGCATATGTTGTTAATGATTACCACATTATTGCTTCATGAACTTTTCAGGAACCCAACTTCTGAGTACAACTTTGAACGTCAAAGAATATGTTAAGAGCGAATTTCTTAAGGTTGAAGAAGAGATACTACTCCGCCACAAAGATCTATTTCCTTCTCCAATAACACTGGATGACTTCTTTTGGGCTTTTGGGATACTTAGATCAAGGGCATTTTCACGACTCAGAGGCCAAAACCTTGTTTTGATCCCTTTTGCGGATTTGGTTAGATCTCAAATCTTACTTAATTAGGCGTGCGTGAAAATTTGAGATGATTAATGTTATAGAAACTTTGCATGCAATACAAGCAGCACGCAGTTTAGGTGCAACATTAGTTTGGTTTGAATGCCGTGTTGGTAAATGGTACCTAAATTTTCACATTATGTATCCACTTTGAAATTTTAAAGAACCTATAAACATGGAAGTTTAGAGTCCATAATAAAACTTAAACCAATGAGTTGAAACTTCCATCATGGACTTTAGCTGAATAAGCGCTTTTGATTGGTATTCTTTTTACAATATTTTACAAGGACATCATGACATAATGGTTTATTATGTATTTGCACAAAACAACTATCATTCAGTCTTTTTATGAATTTTAACTCCCTTCAAACACAATTTAATTTATCAGGTCAACCATAGCGCTGACGTAACCTCAGAAGAACATGCATGGGAGATCAAGGGACCTGCAGGTCTCTTCTCATGGGATATCCTATTTTCTCTCCGGTCACCAAATCCTGTGAAGGCTGGTGAGCAGGTGAAGTACTAATTTTTATGTTTATGTACTTGGGGGTAACATGACTGCTCATATAGTTGAAGTGTTAGCTTGTTGAAGATATTATTCTAAAACTAGAATTTACTTGCAGTTATGAATAAAACATGAGATAAGATATTTCGATAAGGGGACATTTGCTCTGATCAGTAAAATAATGGTTATAATGCATTTTAGTCCTTATGCTTTAGTCATAGTTTCAAACTTTCAATTTAGCTCCTATGCTTTTAAAAGTTTCATCGTGGTTCCTATCATTGACTTAAAAACATACCCAACATCTTAGTCATTAGTAAGGACAGTAACAAAAGTCAAATGTATTAAATTATTTGTAGTTTTGCTTAAAAGTTGAAGATTATTCACAGAAGTCCAATAGACATTATTTGTTGTATTACAAAACATTATTGGTTCTAAATTTTAGTTTAAAACTCCAACCATATTCTTTTACAATGATTAGGGATTCCAACCAAAAATCTCCCAAGATGCTCTCTCCCCACCCAAGACTCCTGCCTCCTGCCTCCCCGCACCAGAGCCCCTCCCTCCCTTCCCTTTCCTATCACCTTCAACTCTCTGATAAACGATGTCTCTCTTAGCTAAGGTTGCTGTCAGTGTCAGCCATCCCTCCGGTGTCACTGATGGTGGCTGAGCCCTTATTAGGTTTCTTTGAGAGGAAAGAAATCATAGGATTTTCAAATATAAGTTGTCTATTTCCGATTAATTTTGTCTTAGTGTGTAGCATACTCGTACTGTTTCTTGGTTGGGTTCAAATCATAGAAAATTCTTTTGTAATTACATTACAACAGTTTTATGATTATTAACCATTGAAAGGCTCTTCTTTTGTAGAACTTCGGGCAGGAGTTTCCTCTACCCGATCCCTAGGTTGTTGTATCTTTCTTTTTTAATATATCTCTTTGTTTTCCTATAAAAAATTAAATAAAATATAAATAAATAAATAAATAACAAAAAAAGTATTGGTCCTAGAATTTTATAATTTTTTATACTTTTTCAGCCTAGATAATAAATACATTATAATCCAATTAAAATTCATGCTCTTCAATTAATGTAACTTTTAAAATCTCTTGGCTATTTAAAAAAATGTCACATGGTAAAGGTCATTCTAAATATTCATAAGTAATTTGTCATATTGGATTTCTATTACTTTCTATCTACTAGTAGAGAGACTGGCAAATTTTAATCATAGGATAGAGATAATATGAAAATTTATAAGTATAGGGACCCAAGTGAAACTAAGGTTAATAAAACTAAAAGTGTGATTTGACCTAAAATAGTATACTTTGCCAAAAAATGTAAGAAAGACAAATTAATGATCTTGAACTTTGGACTGTATGTTCAACAGGTTTTTATCCAATATGATTTAAAAAAGAGCAATGCTGATTTGGCTCTCGACTATGGGTTCATAGAGCCGAAGGCAGATCGCAATGCATATACACTGACGTTAGATATACCAGAGTCAGACCCTTTCTTTGATGATAAGTTAGAAGTTGCTGAGACTAACGGTCTTGGCGAGACAGCTTATTTTGACATTGTTTTGGGCCGTCCTTTTCCACCTACAATGCTTCCATTCCTGCGCCTGCTAGCGCTCGGAGGCACCGATGCATTCCTCTTGGAATCTCTTTTTAGAAATTCAATCTGGGGTCACCTTGAATTGCCCGTAAGTCGAGCAAATGAAGAGCTTGTATGTCAAGTGGTCAGAAAGGCTTGCGAGGCTGCTCTTTCTGGCTACCATACCACCATAGAAGAGGTAAATCCTGACTCTTCATTCATCTATTATGCATCTATCATAAAGTCATGAGGTAAATTTAAATATTGAATATGTGAGCTTACTCCCATATGCCATATCCATATAGAAGGTAGGGTGTTCTTCAAGAAATTTTTTATGATCTTACTCTTACAGAACCTGATACTTTATCCTTGCTTTCTAGTTGTTTGTAACTTTGTATCTCTTAGGGTTTGATAGCTATTTTGTTTTTGGTTTTCTATTTTTTCTCCGTGTTCTTTGATTTTGTTATATAGTTTTTATAAATATTTTCAAAATATAGGTTAAATTTTGAAAAAAAAAATAATAATAAAAGTAGTTTCCAATTTTTTTTTTATTTTTTAAATTTAGCTAAGTATTCAAATATGTTTTCAAGAGGGGTGAAAAATTTACTAATTAAATTATACGAAACGAAGCCTAATTTTTGAAAACATTAAACTAAAAACGAGCTGGTTATCAAACGACACCTTAATAATTTTGTTAGAAATGAATTTCCTCGCCTACTAAATTTCTTTTGCATTAGCATTTATGCACCCCTACATATTCATAGGGTTCTTTTGTTAGGTTCAAGAAGATCGAATAGATGGATTTTTTTTTCTTCAGCTGTTTTCAGTTCCACAGTGCAATACATATGTAGGTGATAGGTTCAAAGATAAACTGATGGAACATTCCTGTGTTTTTTCAATTAGAAAAATCTTCTCTAGTTGTGATGTGATCCTTGCTACTGAACTCTTTGTTAACATGTACGTTTTAAAAGAGCTAATCTATGCATGCTTTTAAACTTTGGCCGATTAAATTACTAGTTTAATTCTTAATATTGATAATTGTGTCCATATAGTCCATAAACTTTATAAAGTTTTAATTGCATTCTTAAATTTTGAATTGTGATTTTGTAGTTTAGGAATTAATACGTGATGTGGCATGCTTAATGAATAAATAAATATATATTGATTTGATATGGCATGTCAGAAAAATTAGAAAGGGATTTAATGTAGAGAGTATGTTACACTTACCTCTGCTATCTTGTCTACCATATCACATCAAATCTACCAACATCATCCAATAAGGCATGTCACGTCATCACTTAGTTACGGTGTTAACATAGATAGAATCACAATTAAAAGTTAAGCAACTAAATTTATAGTTTAAACATTTTTGTTTTACTCGTATTTTATACATTAGCTTACGAGACCTAGAAAACTCTATTTATGTTTTTAACCCCATCTAAAAACGATTAATTTCAGGATGAGAAGGTAAGAGAAGATGGAAATCTAAACTCAAGACAGAGGATTGCTGTTGGAATAAGAGAAGGGGAGAAGAGGGTATTGCAGCAAATAAACAATATTTTCAAGGACAGGGAAATGGAATTAGATGAATTGGAATATTACCAAGAGAGGAGGCTAAAGGATCTTGGTCTGTGTGGGGAGCAAGGTGAAATTATCTTTTGGGAGTCTAAATAAGTGACCCCAAAAATGAAGAAGAGAATGGGGGTGTTCAAATCCACCTATTGTTCGATTAATCATCAGTAAATAAATCTTTAGTTTCTTCTAGGATGAAGTAGGCTAAATTATATGCATTTTGTGTCTGTGTTTTAATTAAGTAGTTTCAATTCATTGTGCGTGTTAGAAATATCTTTTGTTATATTCGTATTATTGATGCGTAAATTTGTTCTTGCGGGATGACATAAGTTGCACCAATTTTCTTCAGTAAAGAGATTTGGCTGAATCGAAAGATTTCGTATCAGTGTGGTATTAATCACACACTCTTCAATGCAAGTAAGAATCAAGTTTGAGATTTTTTTTCCTATTTATAGAAGTGGAAGAGTTCATGATTCTTTATTTTCTTCCTTTAAATTCCTTAGACTTCAAGAATTTGATTTGATGGCCTAATTTATCAAATTCCTTAGACTTCAAGAATTTGATTTGATGGCCTAATTTATCAAATACACAAGGGAATCGTTGAACTTAAGAACACCTTAGGTTAGAGCCCTTGGATCGACTAGTTGGACCATAGGTTCTAGCCTCTCAACCACAAGGGAATCATTGAACTTAAGAACACCTTAGGTTAGAGCGCTTGGGTCGACTAGTTGGATCATAGGTGCTAGCCTCTCAACCACAACCTTCGGCCGATCAATTGGTCCATGGGTTCGCGGGCTCCTGGTTGGTGGGCCATAATTGTGGTATTGGTTCATCAATTGGTCCATAGATGGTTCGATTTTGTCCAAATTCTATCAATCTTATGTTAAATATATATTTTATAACTCATTTAACACGTATTATAATTTTTTTCAGTAATTTTTCAAATTAAAATCTATCAAAGGGTCAAACTTGTGACATAAACTAAAATTAATTCAATCATCAAATATTAGAATATTATAAATTGTTTGTGGGCAAAAATTATAACATTGAATTATACGTTATCATGAAATTAATATTTATTGAACTAATAAAATATATATTTAGGCTTGTGGGCTATAAAAATTTCCAAATATATATATTATTATCCTAATAAATTAAATATTGTCTCATCCTAATTAAATATAAATCAAAAATAATTTCTTTCTATCGAGAAAATTCATTTGAATTTTATATTAATTACAAATATCAACACCATTTCATATAAATTATTAAAAAAATACCTTAAACACATTATCATAATTAAAGATGTCGTGGCTATTCTTTAATGACTTAATTTCTCATAGGAAATGATATCAAAATAATTAATTAATGCTTATGTCATTTTTATGACTAAAAATATATATCAATGCATCTTCATAACATAATTTTAAAAGATAACATTCTGCGCCAAGGCGAGCATATCTCACCGATAATTGACATATACCTCCAACCAAAAAGTTGTAAGTTCGAATCCTACAATATATTTATTTTATGTGCATATAATATATATATGAAGTAATCGATATATAACTGGACAAATGAAGATGATAGGGAAGAGGAAAACAGTTGTCTTTATCCTATTATAACTGGATGGGTATGGTTGTATCCCATTTGAGGATTTGAATTAATAAAATTGTATCGGTTATTTTACCTACATGATGTGATTTCGGTCGCCATCTCTATTCTCTGTGGAGTGAAAATCTGTCTTTGAAGGTGAAGGCCAGTTGGAGATCCGTGTTCAAATGTGAAGACCAATTTTTTTTTCTTAATTATGAGATTTTTTTTTCCATTCATCTGAATTAATCTAGCACTGTTCTCTATCGTTATTTTTATCACTATTTTCTATCGATTGTGTCAATCAATTTTTTTTTTGTTTTCTCTTCTACCAATTTTGAAATTGTTGAGACCAAATGGAACCATGTTGCTGTATTATCGTTATTGTATCGCTATAATTAAAAGTAGTAATGAGTGAAGGACACGAGAAATAATTTGCACAAAAGAGTGACGTAAAAAAAGTTCAAATAACAAAATTTTTAAAAATCAAACGTATATCATAAACGCCCTCAAATTTCACCCTCATCATTGGGCCAGCCTGGCTTAAAGAAGCAAAGGCTCGAGCTTGGCCCAAGCCCAAGCCATATGGGCCTCAGACATTGTTTGGGCCAGGCTTGGGCCGGCCCAGCCTCTAAAACCTAGGGCTGTGACCCAATCCGTGAGCTTAACACAATGGGTCAAAGTTGGATCGGACTTAGATTGACTCTCTTGATCAGGCTTGAATGAGCCCATATAATATATTTTTTTTAATTATTAAAAATTATTTTTTCAAACAATGTTCTTAGTTTTAGATTTTGTGTTTTTATTTTATTCTCTAGTGCAATTTTTTTTTTCAAAACGTTATCAATAAGTTTTGTTATATCATATTTTTACAACTTAATTTATTTTATTTTTAAAGAAATTAATTGTATTACTTTTTTAGAAGAAGGAGAATGACAAAAAAAGATAATAATTAACTATATATTAATAATTAATATATGTATATATACAATATATAATAATATATACTATATTGGGTATATTTTTGATGTAATCGGGACAGTATATATACTGGGTATATAGTTGATATACGGGGTATATATTTGATATACCCCTGATATATGAATGGATAATGTCCCGTGAATAACCTAAAAGGTCTATAGTATATGGATAAGGCTGGGTACCTTATCCTGGCAACACTACGGATACGGCCCACTCTGTAAAGGTTACAGACGACTCGATCCAGGTCGTTCGTGTGGAGACATGCGAGTGGGGGTATCCTATACAATGAGTTTGTATAAGACCGGACCGCGAAATAGGCAATCTTTAGATGTAACACCGTTAACTAATAGATTGTCATTTCTTAGGATGACCAGGCAACTCATTCTCAATCCTGAGTGAGTTATGGACTCTTGCCCGTGAGGGCTCGTCCTTTGATTTGTATGGGTGAGAGTGGCCCGAGTCGCCGACTCAACATTCCTACCATTTTGGGGATGAGACCGAGTGGGGAGCTG